TGTTCCATTAAAATGTTCTATTCGTTTATTGGTCAGAAGCAATGGAAAATGTACGCCGCCATCGGTTGTAACGGACTGGCACGGTGGCTTTGTAAGCCAATTTATTCGGCCTAGGATTATAACACATACTACAAAGGGGATCAAGAAAACTGAGTAAAATATAGCCTGCATCGAATCAAACCTAGCAGGGTTATCATCCTCCACAAAAATCTTTGCTCAAATCAGCATGGTTAAAAAAAACTGAAATGCTGAACTCCAATGACGACATCAACAAATGCAAGAAACGAATCAAATGAAGGGAGAAAAAACGTAAACGTGAAGTCACTCAATGGTGTTATCTCTTGTCATACCTCACCTTGAATTCGAATGTAGCTATGCAGCTTAGCTTGGAATTCCCAACAGGGGTCTGGAAGCATTCCGGAATCCCCAGCATCAAGTTAAATAGCGATCAGTCTTCAATCATATGACTCGGTTAAGATTGCATTAAAAAATATATTTAGCGTGCAAGTAGTCTCGTGAAACATCGTCTCAAGAAGCGAGGTGTCTGTCGAGACTGTGGGACGATATAGTGCAGCGGACGGCGCGGTTTCGTCGCACTGGGAGTTTCCCATGCCAAGTGGATCAGTCAGTCAGTCAGTCAGTCAGTGCCGGTTCGTGAACCGGAGTGCTTCAGATCCCAGGACTCATTCCTAACCGCTTACCCATCTCCAAAAAAGTGTCCTTCTCCTCTCCTCCGGACCCCCAGATTTATCTCTATTTTAATCCTAGTACAGTATTCTGGGGACGCAGGAAGCGTGGAAATAGCTTCGGAATACCGAAGTAAAACATGTTACGTGTCCAGAAGTGCAGGTATCAAAATATTTTAACGGAAGTGGAAATGAGAAATAATAATTGATCAAGTACAAATAGAAAAATCAAAAAAAGACGCACATGCAAGCGTGTAAAAGTATAGCCAATTGCCAAACAAGAAAAAACACACGGATGTTTTCGAGCTAAAAGCCATTAGTCACGGAAGAGGGCCGGAAGGAAAAATTCTACCTGGCCTTCGGTGAACTTTTTTCTAAGCAAGATGGCATTAGCTCGAGGTCTCTCTCTCTCTCTTTTTTACAAGGTTGAAACTTGAGAAGATTTCGAGATGCTTTCCAATATTGTAACTGCTTTTTTTTCTTTAATCTGAACTCCATAGACCCATTTGTTCTGAACGTCAGAAGAACCTGCGTAAATTATGATTCTGAAAATTGAGTTTTTCGTTTAATTTAATCCCAGCTGGACAGTACACCAATAAATATGGAAAATTACTTTGAAATCAATTATCCAAGATTCATCAATCTTTTTTCGAAAAGCTTTCTCGATTGAACACATACGAGGCACAAAAAAATTTTCCTCGGTGATTCTTAGTAACCTGGAATGTTTTCATCTTTCAGTTGATTTTCTCTTGTGAAGTAAATTTGTGATTTCCAGAATAATACTGTAGAAGAATTACTGTATATCACGAACAAGGGTGCGTGAATTTATTCCATATTCGAGGATTGCTTGAGAAAAAACTTATTGAAATCGTATGTTTTCCAAGAATTTGCGTATGATTATCATTTTAATTATACACCCATTATACAGATGTGACATACGGCACACATTTCAGTTCACTTCAGAAAAAAAGTTTTATCCAGAGATAATTCTTGGGTGGAGTTACTTCATAGCGAGTTCGCTTTCGAAATGGGTTTTTCCCGGAGTGCGTCTCGTAAATTAACTAAAGAAACATCGTTACATACAGGAGTGCGTCAGGTGAGAACAGGTGAGAAAAAACTAATCCACGATCCATTTATCTCCCTCTGAAAATAGCAGTAATACCGAAGCCATAATCGGCATTCCATACCAAGCTTTAATCCGGGTCAGTCAATCAAAAATATTTAGCTACAGTACCTTCTTTAATGGAGCGCGCATTTGCAAAATAGTTTGTTTCTGAGCAAATGGGATTTCTCATTAAAATACTGTATGCCTTTTTTAGATTTTTTTCATCTCCCAAATATAAGTGGTAGGTATTCGTTTTGTTTTTCTTTTCTCTAGCTTTTTTCTGCCAGGATGCGACTTGTTAAGAGTTGGCAGGGATTTATAAAAAATCGAACAATTTATGCTATCCCTTAGTTATTACCACTTATAGTTTGCAGTAATTTTGTGCGCTAGATTCGTCGTAATTCATGGTGAATATGGTGATACTTTTTCTACACACATTATGACAATTCTATGAGGTTGTGCGAATACTGTACCTCAATTCGTTCCATTAACCATTTTGAGTTATATTGCAGCACGGTAAGATGAAAATTGCAGAAAATGAGTCACCGGATGTTCACATAGAAAACGCGTTTTACGCTGCTAATCATGGTGTAAATGCATCCATTCAGGTTCAATACTTTGTTAAGAGCAGCAGCTTTCAGTTAATAATGTGCAGCTGATCTTGTTTCGCCACCGGCGTCCCTCAAAAGCCAAGAATACGAAAAATTTAATTGGCCTTATTTGCCCGCAGAGGAGGGGTGCTGGGCGGCCGGCAGGGGTCAATCTCGAAGGGCTTTCTTTTTATTTTTTGGGAGGAGGATAAGCGGTGAAAATGGGTCGGATCACCCTTTTTTTGTGTGTGTGTTCGCCCCGTCAATTTCAAAACTATTACCAGAAAAGTAATAGAAAAAAGTGCTTCCTATTTCCAACTGCGACCAAAAATATTTTGAAAGTTCAGTCCGGTATTTCGAACCCAACCGCGGTTATCATCGCGACGGTTTGATCCTTACAACCCCTAATACTGTAACTACAACACAGTACACTGCGGCATTAGAAAATTATTCACACCTCAAAAAATTGCAAGAACTGTTAACTTCAGAAAAGAAACTGAAAGAAATGTAAAATACAATTCATCCGAAATTTTGATAATAAAGTAAAGTACTGCACAACGAAAATAATGATTTCAAAACTCAGCAATGGGTAATGAAAATTCAGACTTCAGTCAGCTGAACACAGCAATCGAAATCATCATTGCGATGGCATTCTTTGTAGCCCTACGCATCCCAATTACGATTACTAGTCCAAAGAAAAGTCTTACACGCTGGGTGCCGAGGCATTGTAAAGAACGTGAGCATGAAATTGACGCTTGAAAAAATATTTCTCACGGAAAAAGCAGGAAATCAAATCCGCTCTCAACCCATTAATTCCGGGTTACCCAGCCATCGTTAAATGGGTGGAGAGCGTGGACAGATACGGGTGTGAGCAGAGAAGACTATGGATACACGCTCGCGAATCCCACACATCATTGAAAATTCCGGTGAGAAATGGTTCAACAGAATAGACAAATTGAAGTTGATTAAATTCTCTGATGAATGCAGGTTGAATAGTAATGAAGATATGCAAACAACAATGATGAGTTTGTCACGTACAATTCATTCTTTTGCCTTCTTTCAATATATTCCAAGTAAACATTGCAATTCTTATATGTCTGAACAAAAAAACGGCGATCTGCCGTACTCAGAAGACAACAATTGAGAGACACCGAGTTACTAACCAGGGGAAACTATCCAACACCCTTACAATTTATAAAATAAAGTTCAAATTCATTCTTGCAACCTATTTTCTCAAAGCAAGAGGGTCTTTAACCTCTACATTAATGTGATTGATCTTCAGAAATTCATCAGGCTTCAATAAATTATTTAAATGAAGTATGATGAACCCTACCCGTCCATTCGATTATGATCAAACGGAAGTCTCAACAACAAGCAAATACAAGAATTCTACGCCCTTGAAACAAAGAAAGTGTTTCTTCGCACGACGAAGAGAAGTAAACAAGTCCGTTTATCCGTCTGCGAGCACCGCTTGAGACCTCTCTTCCCAAAAAAGTTGTTCAGTTCAGGACAAATAGTGTACCTCCAGTTCCACTATAATCAACATACTGTACTATGAAAAGAAATGCGTCTGCCAGGCGACATTCTGTATCCCACATTGATATTCATTCTTGCAACATTCGCGCTTGGGTCGTGATCAACCTCCTCACTCACGGTTTACACTCGCACAGGAGTGCAGAAAGGTGACTTGGCGAGATTCAAGATGCTCAAAACTTCACAACATCTCTTTGAGAGGACTGCTGCATTTGCTTCGAAATAACCGAAAGCCAAGAACAGCAATCCTGTATAAACCCGAGCGGCGATTTGCGGATAAATGAGCGATTTCGTCTTGACCCCAGAGGCAAGACGCTTACACGAAAGACGTCGGCGTGATTGAATTCATTAGTGTCGAATACGAAAAAACAATGCGCAAGAAACCATTGAAAACATTTAGTAAGTTTTAAAAAAGATAGGAGGGTTGCGAGGGTCAACCATGGATGTTCCCGGCGTTATCCATCAAAAAGAAAATTGCTTCAACATTAGACAGCTTGCAGCGCTACCCCATGATTACCGCCCGTGTATATTAAAAATGCATTGGGAAGGTGGTCTCATTAGAGGTTTTCCGCCTGCTGGGAAGATGAAAATACTAGTCGGGGTTTTACGTAACAACTTGGGGTTCTACAGAAATACTCTGATATACTGTCGAAAACCAATTAGCGCAGTTCAGAATGCGAGTGCTGTACACGAATAGAATCCCTCCGCGGAATAATCAATATTCAATTACCTGAGCGCCAGCACAGCTTGATCAAAAGTTGCAAGGTGCATTAATTTTTTTTAATTCTGATAAATACTCAACTTCTTCAAACGCTAAAATACTCTCGTTCTGTGCAAATTTAAAATTTAGAAAAACGCAAGCGAAACAAAAGGCAGTACGGTGAGGTGCTTCTGTTAAGGATACCAGATCAGTCGCAAGTTTTCAATGTTAGGAATCAAAAATGTCGATCGATCAGTTTAGCCATGAAAAATTCATTAATTTCATACTTCTTCCGGATATAAATGTTTAATGTAGCATTTGAGGGTCAATTCTTTCTGGAACGACGGTCGAGCTACGTTGAAATCGAAGAGAATTAATATGAAAAGTACTTTCGACTCCCCGACAATGAACGACTTTTAGAGTGTGAGTGAGTGTAATTGACGAATGATGCGGAAACTTTGGGGAATACTAGTGGCATTTGGAGTGTCTATAGTGATCGCAGAGCATGAAGGTAAGCGTGGCACTCCGACTAAACGACCTCCGGTTTGAAGTGCTCCATATTTCGCAGACAGGCATTTCTGGCAAGCATCCATGAAAGATGAGATATGGAAGACCATCACCGCGCGGAGAAATTGTGCAAAAGCAAAAAACATCGTTGTTTTCATCGGCGACGGAATGGGAATTCCAGTCATCACGGCAGCGCGGATTCTGAAGGGGCAAAAAGCCGGAAAAACAGGAGAGGAGACATTCCTGAACTTCGAAAAATTTCCTTACACGGGGCTCATGCGGGTGAGATTTTAACTCCCAGGGACGCTCTTTCTCACGCCCCAAAGCCGAATTCACGGTCCGAACGGTCCCAAATATTCACAAAAATAAATATAGCTTCGAAATAAGGAAAAATAATTCAGAATTCTTTTCCTCACGTAGACATACTGCACAGACAAGCAAGTGCCTGATTCGGCATGCACAGGTACAGCCCTTTTCAGCGGCATCAAAGCGCCCTATTATACTCTCGGCGTCGACGTTCATGCGAAGTACGGAGAATGCAAGGAAACAATGAAGTACAAAAGCTACTTTCCTGAATCCATCATGACTTATGCACAAGCTGCAGAAAAACTAACAGGTAAGGCCATTGTTTTAATAGAAAATACAAAAAAATCAGTTCCTTGGTGTGTTCAACTTTCAGAGCACATCTTCCACAATTTCATCGGCGAAGCTCAACTTGAAATAAATCTAAGCTATTATAAATGTTATGAGTTATTCCCAGTATTTTCTCGGTTTGAATGCAGAGCCCCTGAAAAATGCACGCGGAGTCTTCAGGGCTCCACGGAGCACAAGTATGAGAATCTCTAGTTTATGTAGTACGTTAACTTTCAGTACTTCGCAAAGGCATGAAACACCGAGTGCTCAAATTTAAAAATAAGAAGGCATCACGATCAAAATTGAGACAACATCGTCATAAAAAACCTACTTCAAAGAAGAAAGCATGGATGGTAGTCAGCGAGGTATTTTGCCATAAAATAAATCTCGAGAGTAAAAAATGACTTTTGTTATCAATGTTTTGCAGGATTCGTCACGACATCCCGAGTAACGCACGCCACACCTGCGGCGACTTACGCTCACTCTCCACACCGAGAATGGGAATGTGACGGAAAATTGCCCCCGGAGGCAACCGAATGTAAAGACATCGCGAGGCAAATGATCGAGGACGCGCCCGCAAGAGATTTCCACGTAAGCCACATAACGTCCCATTTTCGATTCCAAAGAAGAAAAAAAAACAGAAACGACGACGACAGAACGAACTCTGCCGCTAAGATTTATTTGAGAAGTACCTTTGCTCCCGCAGGTTATTATGGGAGGAGGGCGTCAGTTCTTTTTCCCCAACGAAACGTATAACCAAAATAGATCTGAGACCCAATGCCAGCGGCGCGATGGTCGCAAGCTCGTTGAAACGTGGATGAACGACAAGAAGAGCAGGAACGCGACCTACAAATACGTAACGACGACATCCGAGCTTCAAGATGCCATGAGAAACAAACCAGATTACCTACTAGGTCGGCACAGAGACCCGCATTATTTCCCAACTACTAAACAATAAAAATACTTCCACGGTTTCAGGGTTATTCAGCAGCAGTCACATGAGTTACGAAATCGAGAGGAACACATCACCGAACGGAGAACCAAGTCTCGCAGACATGACGGAATCGGCGATCAATATCTTAGAGAACGACAAAGGGTTTCTCCTCATGGTAAGCATCAAGCGCAAATTTTTATCGGAATCGTAATGTTAAACTTTTTAAACCCAGGTTGAGGGGGCAAAAATCGATCACGCGCTGCATGATAATAACGCAAGGCGGAGTCTGGAAGACCTCCTTGCTTTCGAGGAAGCAGTGGAACGTGCTCTCAAAAAAACGAGTCAACTGGACACACTAATCATCGTTACTGCGGATCATTCTCACACGCTGACAATAAACGGTTACCCGGCCAGAGGAAATCCTATCTTAGGTAACTTTAGAATTAAAAAAAAACCTCCTGCGCGATTCAATTGTCCCACATTATCTTGTGATTTATTCAGGCATAGCAGAAAACCAGACTGATTTCGGACTCCCATACACAACTCTGATGTTTACCAACGGTGTCGGCTACAATTACACGAACAACGGAACACATATTTTGTGGCGGAATCTCACAAACGTGGATACCCAGGCACTGGATTTCCGACAACAGGCAGCCATTTACCGCGAAAACGGAGATGAGACCCATGGCGGGGAGGACGTTGCAGCTTATGCCATCGGTTTAAACACATTTTAACAACATACCCGATATTCTAAAATCTAGATCGCCTGGATTTTTTTTCAGGACCGTGGGCCCATTTGATAACTGGAGCACACGAGCAACCTTACGTCGCTCACGTCGCGAAGTATGCCGCGTGCCTGGGAGATTACGCAGAGATGTGTCAAAGCTCGATGAGAAAAACGAGCTGTGGAATTGAAGTTTCCTCAGCAAACACTGGAGGGATCCACGCCTTTTTTATTACCACCATGTTCCTAACGAGCTACATACTGCAGTTATGATCTGACGCAATTTCTTTGCACCATATTTAACGTGATCTCACTGATGTCGTTCGCTGATGTTGAAATCACGAAGCTCGAGCACCCAAAACCTATTAACCTTGAATATTCGAGACCGCGCGAAGAAACTTGCTTTCGAGTGCTGCCACAGTTGGTATTCACGAGCGGAAATGCATGTCTGCTCTTCGATTATTAAAACTGTACTCACCCTTTGCCGAATCGCAGCAGGCGTTCCTCCAAGGAATCCCAGACGCAATATCACGTATGGGTACTTCGATATAATTTTCAGCAAACAGAATGACACCGGCGGCTTTTCTGCATCACTAAAATATTTAGAAATCCAAGTGAATTAAGGAGTTGGAACTTGAATATTCCGTAAATAACATAAAAGTAATCAACCTTGATATCTACTGTAATACGAGAGATGGTTTAAAGTTCAATTCTTGCGTCAGTAAATTTGAATTAAATTCCTCGAGTACTGAGGTTTCGGAGTTGGAGTCTTCTAACTAAACCACTATATCAGTTTTAAAACTTTACTTTTTACATGGTAAAGGAAGGCTTCGTAGATTTTCCCAATATTCGCAACTAATGCATCGCTGAAATAAACTTCTTGCAGACCCAGTGAGGGTTCAGAAAGCATTTAAATTCCGCATCATCAACATGAGAATTGCGAAGCAGCGAACATTTTGTCATCGGAATATAGTCATTAGATGCTCCGATCTTAGAAATCGTCAAATAACAAATCTTTCAATTCCATGAAAATAGTTAGCACTTGAACTACCCGAAAATTCCTGAAGTATGCAGTACAGAAGGTGAACCTTCTTCAATCACAATGAAGGGGTCCCCGGTACTTTCGATTGCCTGTCATCACTGAATTTCGTACCGGGAAAGCGAAAATCCGAACAGTTGTAAAAAATCGACGAATATTACTTCATAAAAAATACGATCCTCTCCATCAATCCACGGCTGAAGAGTGAAGAACGCATGAACACACCCAGACAGATAATACATACTTATGCATAGTGAATTTCCCCTTGGGATAAAAAAAACCAACATTACCATGATCGTGAAAAGAATGAGAATAATCCCACAGAAGAAACAACGGCGAAACACGGTATCAATTTCTTTAATTCCCGAATAAAATGGACTTCGGAAAACTACAAATTCCTCAGAGACTACACGCCAAGACCCCGAAGTTCACAATGTGGTTCGATTTATGCACACATGAGCGAACTTGGTTTTCGGGCAGCTTCGCGTAAATTTCTTCATTGAAGAGGAAATTGATCCCTCAACTGTGGATTTGGACTTCTTTTGATTCTGGGAAGGGACTTATTTCGAAATTAATTTTGGGCTAAATTTTGAACTTTTTGAGCACTTCATTACAGCAAGGGTTGCCAGAGGACACTTACATGACAAAAATATCTTCTCCCAAGATTTTCAGAACTGAATTCAATACCCATAAGGATTGAGAAATATAACTGTTTCAAACAGAATTGTGTCACTCAACTCTTTCCGAAATGATATCCAACATTGTGAGAGACCCTTTCCAGAATACAATTTAAGGCTGAGAGAGGAAATTTTTCAATCTAATTCATTTTCTTCTCCTTGAGGGAAGGCTTCCTAAAATAAAATCTAGTTGGAATTCAGTTTTTGAACAGCTGGGAAAGGAGCATTTCTCTCACTGAAATTTCCTCTTTCAAGCCTCAAAAGAATGAAATCTAATCAAAATTCAGGCTTCATTTTAATTTAAATTCTATTCCAGAAAAGGTTGAGAGAATTTTGATCACACGCTTCCTCTTTAAAGTCTAAAACATGAATTTTCATCTGAAAAGGCTGGAGAAAGAACATTTTGAGGAGTTATCACGCTGTCACATAATTTCAGTGAAAGTTTCATCAGCATAAAGGAACTACAATACAATTTTATTCTTGAAATTTAAATCCTCAGCAAATTTCAAAAGAAACTTTTTCAATCTGAAATGCAATCACACAATTAAAATTTTAAAAGGTTTGGTGCTTGAGATTCAAGAGGACACGCAAAGGAAATATTGTAGATCAATTCAGCAATTCAAAATACGCCTACAGGAAAATGGTGAATTTTTTCTGATCATATATTGCGTTCTGTATTTCAAGTATAAAGTCATGGGGAAAAAAGAAATCATTCCTCAACTTTACGTTATGAGCTTCTGAACTGTCATGAAGCGAAAGCACAATGTCAGCATAATCAATTCCAAAGCCAGTACTTGGTACCCTGCAATTCAACTACTGTATAATCTGCTGCCAGGTTAGGGAATTGTGAGGCGGTCAAATTGCAAGACAATGTTCATCAAATTTGATATTTTGAGTCTTTCTGCAAGTCCAATTGCGGGTCACAGGTGAAACCAAAAGTTGAAGTCCCAAAAAATTCGACCATCAAATTGCAAGTTACAGTACCAACAGTCCATTAGTTAACTTACCTGTACAAAAATTTGATGTAGCAGGAGTTCTCAGTCAGAATAAATGTTGCCCATTCTTCCACGCAAGTAGCCAGTGCTGTAGCTGCTTGACGACAGGAGGCAATATCAAAAATACCAGCGGCGTTAGGATGATGCATGTGTCTACTCGTTGGCAAGGGTCTATCATGCTCCAATAAAATGCCCATCCTCCAAATATGGAGCCACCGTTGCCAAAATGCTGGTTCCAACGTGGAGATGCGCTCCCAAAAGGAAACAAAGTTTGCTGTTCTCGCGTCTCGCCTGGAAATTCAAATGGTTCTCGAGAAAGTCCCCATGACTGAAATATTATACGTACCCAGTCGCAAGAATTGTAGAAGGAGCGGGAGATGGAAAACGTAACACCGGAACTTTGACAATATGACAGTATCTTTCGGGAATAGTGTAAAGCGTGGGATTTCCCAGGAATGCATGTAGGTGTACCAGAAGGTTATCAGTTTGGGTAAAAGTCTTCAATTGCACCCTATACCGCATCACATTTTTCTTCCGACTTGATGACGGTAAAACGAAATTTCTACCCGCACTGATATCATTCAGGAAATCGTACGGACCTGTGGGTAAAACCAACTACTTCTCGAAATTCTGAAGACATTCAATTCAGGAAATTCTGTACCTTGCACGTAAATTTCGTACATGATGGATTCCCCATAGTCCGGCCACGTTGCTACTATCACATACTCAAAAGAAATGAATGGCTTCCAATAATACACCATGGACATGGTGAACTTGTCACCACCTACATTCACAAGTTTCACAGCAAAGCCTTCACGCAGCCTGGAGGACATGTGATTCAACAAATCGATCTGCAGAACATGAGGAGCAGAAGAAACACGCGACAGGCATGGCTTCCGAAGCAACCTTTCTTGCGCGTTTCGGAAATTAGCGTTTCTGAGGAAAAAAAAACTGAATGCCGACATATACAACGATGTGTAGTAAGTAACGTACTCGATACTTCGATACGCAGGAATCTTGGGGTCGTTCCCGTGGTAAGAAGAATACATATCTTCCCAATCCCAGGTTTCTAGAGTGTGAGAATCACTTGCTCGTTGGAAGGACCAGGCAAAGAAAGCCTGATGATACAAATTCATGTTCCTCTGATAATCCATTTCCTTGAAAACGGGGGGGAGGGAATTCCATCTTTACTTTGAAGTATTATTTCGCCAAAATCCAAGGACGACTTACCAAGACCGGCGTCTGCGTCAGATACGTTCCAAAAGTCGCTTGGGCGATAAAGGAAAGAAGCTCAGTGTATGGTAAAAGACCTACACTTTGCTGCGGCTGAAATGGCCCTCCTAGAAGGTGGACAATTGAGCAAACCACTCCTTGAATTCGGAGCTGAGCAAGCATCGGGTCCAGAGAACCCAAATCAGGTGATGCATTAACTCCATCCGTCAGCAGAACAATGTCTTGACCATTCAAAAATATTTTCTTAAAACTCGGCGGGTGCCAGAAAACCTCATCAACTTACGTGCACTCGAATTCTCAGGTAACAAAGTTAACGCAAGCAAACCTAGACGGAGCATTTCGGCCATAGCACATTCCTTGTTGTCAAAGGTTTGAAACGTATTCTTGCTTCTTCGCTTTTCTAAGACGATTTCGTCATCGAATAAAACCCTCATCGGATTCACATCACGAGACTGCAAGAGATAAAAATCCACCACATGCACGGCGCTTAACGCAAGTTATAAAATGGGACTGGCACGCTCACCTTTGCATTCTTCTTCCGGTCCAACATCAACATGGTTTCTTTCGCCATCAAGTTTTCTAGGTTACGAAACTTCACAGCCAAATGCGACAAAATAGATTCCAACGATTTCTCTGAGGGAATCCATCCTTGCAGTAATACCTTCGATTACAATTTAATTAGTCATTTATTTCAGGTTTGAAGGACGGCTTCTAATTCCTCCAGAGAAGCCTACAAGAAACCGCACACACCTGTTCACACGACATGCACATAAAAGGCACATATGCTATGACAGTGACGTATATCTTCGGCTGCAAGAGAAATTCACTTCCAGGAATGAAGAATGGTCGGAGCATGCCTTCAAGACACCTCCGTAAAGACGAAAATGCCGTCCCATGAATAACGTCATGCGAATGAAGATTCTGAAATTTCATTAAGCACTTAATGACAAAGAATTCCTGAACACACATAAACTCACACAATAAATTAATTCAACATGAAAAATTTCATCAGAAGGATTCGTAAGTTCAATACATTCAAATTTGATGACTGTACAGTATTGCATATTATCACTCACCACACAAGCGGAAGACGAGCTCAAATCAATGCAGAACACGAACCGGTACTTCTTCGACAAAAAAGTAACGAGAGTCGACGGAAGAATATGGTATGTATACAGGTGACTAGTGTCTGAATCCCATTCTTCTGGGATGCACGCAGGATTTGGAATGACGGAGATCAGATCCAAATTGTCAACATAATCCTGCTGTGAAGTGTAAATATGATATTAGCTATCAGTTCAGACAAAAAGAAAAAAATGTGAACAACCATATCCAAACGTCGAGGGATCGAAACGGTTTTATCCAGGTTTTTTAAGAACCACTCTGCCTTCGCATTCCGAGATGATCGATATTCGTTGTCCATGAGAATGAATACATTCTGAGCCTCGAGCACCTCCAACTCCTCGTCCAAGGAGTCCATTTCCAACAAGTAATACCACGATGACAAGCGATTTGCTGTAACTA